TAGCTGATCCTTTTTTCCTGTTTCTAGGACTATCCTATTAAGTGTAATCTCACTGCTTAATGAGCCCAACACCTTCTCCCCAGCCAATGTCGATGCTTCAGTTATGTTCAGGAAATGGAGAGACAGTAAAGGAAAAGACAAAGAATATGCTGAAATTATTAGGTAAGGTGCTTTTTTTTTTTCCCCCCAAATTACCTCAAGTCATTATACAAAACCAAAATATATTCTGGAACTAAAGGTTTACATCACACTTAAATATCCTGTCCATTCCAGGATAATTTTCCTCTATTAGATTTATAGTGTGGGAAGAGAAGGTTTCTGCCTGAGCCTAATGAACTTTGCTATTTACCAAGAGAACAGCCACTAGAAGATAATGCAGTAGCAGACCTGATTTTCTAGGAACCAGAACTTCTAGGTTCTGGCCAGGCATGGTGGCTTACACCTGTAATCCCAGCACTTTGGGAGGCTGAGGCAAGCAGATCACCTAAGGCCAGGAGTTCAAGACCAGCCTGGCCAACATGGTGAAACCCCATCCCTACTAAAAATACAAAAATTAGCCAGGTGTGGTGGTACATACCTGTAATCCCAGCTACTCAGGAGGCTGAGGCAGGAGAATTGCTTGAACCCGGGAGTTGAATGTTGCAGTGAGCTGAGATCACACCACTGCACTCCAGGCTGGGCGACAATGCGAGACTCCGTCTCCAAAAGAAAAAAAAAAAAAAAAAAAAATTGACCATAGCAGCAAGGATCTTTCGGAAATCCACATTATCAGCAACACTAATATATGGTATAACAGAGCCCTAGAATAAGAATCAGGGGACTTGGAATCTACTCATGGGACCATTTATCAGATAATTTTTGGGGTCTTTTACTTTTTCCTCTGTATAAAATGGAAAAAAGCTCAACCTTTAATCTCTTAGGACATCAGGTTCTTATAATAGTACCCAAGACATCTGCAATAAATACAAACCCTACCCTTCCCCTACCCTCCACCTCCTTTTTATTTGTTTCTAATTATTATTATTATTTTTTGAGATGGAATCTTACTCTGTCATCCAGGCGGGAGTGCAGTAGCATGATCTTAGCTCACTTCAACCTTCACCTCCTGGGTTCAAGCAATTCTCCTGCCTCAGCCTCCCGAGTAGCTGGGATTACAGGCACCCACCACCATGCCCAGTTAATTTTTGTATTTTTAGTAGCGACAGGGTTTCAGCATGTTGGCCAGGCTAGTCTCAAACTCCTGACCTCATGATCCACCAGCCTCAGCCTCCCAAAGTGCTGGAATTAAAGAGACAGACATGGTCTCACTCTGTTGCCTGGGCTGGAGTGCAATGGTGTGATTACAGCTCACGGTAACTTCGAATTCCCGGGATCAGGCAGTCCTCCCACGTCAGCCTCCCAAGTAACCAAGACTATAGACATGCACCACCACACCCAGCTAATTTCTATTATTATTTTTTGTAGAGACGAGGTCTTGCTATGTTGCCCAGCCTGGTCTTGAACTCCTGGCCTCAAGTGATCCTCCTGCCTCAGCCTCCCAAAGCTCTGGGATTATAGCTGTGAGCCACCGTGCCTGGCCTCAACCCCCCTTGATATTACATTTTTATTTTTAAAAATAGAGACCCCAAATACAGTTAAAACTTCCTCTGTGCATAGGATTTTACTAATCATTGGCGTTTATACAAATAAGAGTAAAATCTAGTGGGCTTGAGACCATGTGATATGAAAAAAGTTAAAACAATGCTGGGAAAGCACATGAGGTGACTGCTAAGTAATATAAGATCAGGAGTTCTAAGTTTTCTGCCCATTGGGATCACTTTTAAAGTGTCCCTAAACGATAACTGTCTTTTATGGGATTACAAGGACAGAGTTTGGGCATCTGTGTGTGTATATATATATCTCACCTAGGTGACTGATGTGTACCAAACATTGAAGATAATTAGTAGAAACAGTAAGATCCTAGAGAAGTGTAGAGGAGTGGGAGTGTCCTAAGGATGGAAAGATGGGAAAGCTTCTGTACACACATTCCCAAGGTACTTCTATGTGTTTCTTAATTGTTTAAGGGCCCCTTTATCTCATCCTATCTATGCCTTAATGACCTAGTACAGTACCTGACACTCAGCAACAGCTTTGTGTCAGGTACTCACTAAGGCATAGCCTGTCTCCTTAGGGAGCTCACTTTATTAGCATTTGAAAACAAATGACCATGTAGTATTATACCTATAGAAGCCTAAACAAGATACATTGGGAGAAATACATAATGTAATAGATTTCCTAGCAGACAGAATTCCTCATAACCAATACTTTTTCAGGTGAAAAAAGGGAAAACACCCATGTTTGCTAAAATACAGGAGTATAATAGCATGACATGTTAAGGGAATTACAGATGTTTGAGTATAAATTCTGATGTGGGAAATACTAGAAAATTAAGTGAGAGAGGCACCAGGGTCTTCAAAGACATTGAAGTCATGATAAAAGAGTATGGTTCTTAATCTAAGAAGGGATGGGGATACCACTTAAGTATTTTTGGGAGGGAAGAGGTGATGCTGTTTGAGTTCTGATAAAAGACAGTTGCCTGGTATGGTAGCTCACATCTGTAATCGCAACACTTTTGGAGGTGGGTGGATTACCTGAAGTCAAGAGTTCGAGACCAACCTGGCCAACGTGGTGAAACCCCGTTTCCACCAAAAAATACAAAAGTTAGTCGGGAGTAGTGGCACACACCTGTAATCCCAGCTACTTCAGAGGCTGAGGCAGGAGAATCACTTGAACCCGGGAAGCAGAGGTTGCAGTGAGCTGAGATCACGCCACTGCACTCCAGCCTGGGCAACAGAGCAAGACTCCGTCTCAAAAAAAAAAAAAAAAGACAATGGCTCATGCCTGTAATCCCAGCACTTTGGGAGGCCGAGGCAGGCAAATCGTTTGAGCCCAGGAGTTCGAGACAAGCCTGGGCAACGTGGCAAAATCCCATCTTTACAAAAAAATTAGCCAGGCATGGTGGGTTATACCTGTAATCCCAGCTATTGTGAGTCTGAGGTGGGAGGATTGCTTGAGCCCTGAATCCAGAGGTTGCAATGAGCTGAGATTGCGTCACTGCACTCCAGCCTGGGTGACAATGGGAGACCCTGTCTCAAAAAAAACAAAAAAAATAAATTGGCCAGGGGACCAACATGGACTGAACTGAGGCAGTAGTAATGGGGATGAGAGGACAGATATTTAAGTTGTAAAGCAATAGGTCTTTGGAGTGAGATTTATATTTTAAGAAGCGATGCTCATTTATTCAGAGATGTAAAATGGGAGAAACTGGCCATAGAGGTAGAAAATGCATATGCAGTCTACCTCTGCATATGGAACGTCGGGACAGAGGCTTCCTAAAGGTATTTGTTTATATAAGCCAAGAGATGTCAGCATAAAGGGAGTCGTGGTTAAAATTATGGGAACAGAGATGATGTCCCAGGGAGCATGCTGAGTGTGGAGACAAGCCCAGAAGCCTCAGGACCATCAGTATGCAAAGCAAGGCAACAGAAGAAAAGCTTCAAGCACAGCTAAGAGATTGACATTAGGAAGATCAGGAAGAGTGGTCTAGTCGACTCAAATTTTTATAATTGTTGAAGGAAACAATTTATTGTTCTGTTCATTCATACAATCAGTATTTATTGCACCATCTCTTATGTGCCAGGCTATGTGCTAGGCACTGACTGGGGAAATAGAAGGGACTAAGAAAGACATTTACGCTCACACTGAAATATGTGGAGACAGAAGAGTGAGCAAGCAAAAAATACTAGACAGTGCTAAATGGATAATGTGAAAGAATGACTAGATGGCTGCTTTAAATTGGGTCATGAGGCTAGGCCTTCTCTAAGGTGATATTTAAGCCTTAATATCTGAGGCCTTCATTCCAAATGACAAGAAGGAGCCAGGCATGTGTGGGACAGGGGAAGAGCAACTGGTCCAGACAGAAAAATCAACAAGGTGTGTCTGAGATACCAAAAAAAGACCAGGGTGAATGTGTTGAAGGGCTGGAGAAAATATAAGAGTGGGTTGTGTGGCCGGGTACGGTGGCTCATGCCTGTAATCCCAGTACTTTGGGAGGCTGAGCTGGGCAGATCATGATCAGGAGTTTGAGACCAGCCTGGCCAACATGGTGAAATCCCGTCCCTACTAAAAGTATAAAATTTAGCCAAGTGTGGTGGGAGCCTGTAATCCCAACTACTGGGGACACTGAGGCAGGAGAATTGCTTGAACCTTGGGAGGTCGAGGTTGCAGTGAGCTGAGATCGCGCCACTACACTCCAGTCCGAGTGACAGAGCGAGACTCCGTCTCAGGTGGGGAAGAGTGGGTTGTGCAAGACTTTGGAATCTGGCATAAGGCATTTGAATTTTACTATAAGTGAAAATTAAGAGGATAATTAAGAATTGTTGGCGCACATAAGTTTGGTGGTGAGGTGACTAGGCCAAAACTCTTAACACTCTAGCCAACCCCCTAAGCACCCCACCCCACATTAAATCAGAGTGGCACTTTTTATTCGCATACGCAATCTTACGATCTAGCCCCAGTAAACTAGGATATTAGTCCTTCTATTATCTCTTCTTATTCTAGTAGTTATCCCTGTGCTTCACACCTGCAAACAACAAAGCACAACATTCCGTCCACTAAGTCAATGCCTGTTCTGATTCTTAGTCGCCAACCTACTGGCCCTTACATGAAGTGGAGGACAGCCAGCTGACGAGGTGATTCTGGCTATTAACTGATCCACTGCTTTAAACTCCCTCGATGTTAACAGTGTATTTCCCCCCCTAAAAAGTCAAAGTTTACTTCAAAATTGTACCCAATGGGTTGAAAGCATTTGGTGTAGTACAGGGTATCTGTCAGATGCTTTCAGGCAGATACTGAAGTTTGGAGAGCTGAGTCATAAGTAATATTGATTATTTAAGGCCAATTATAAATCTGTCTCAAAACAATGACTTACCATAAACCACTTCTTGTCACCCTCCCTTCAGGAAACAAGTTTCAGCCACTAAGGCCGAAGCAGAAAAGGATGGAGTGAAGGTCCCCACAACCCTGGCGGAATACTGCATCAAAACTAAAGTGCCTTCCAATGACAACAGCTCAGATTTGCTTTACGACGACTTGTATGATGACGACATTGATGATGAAGATGAGGAGGAGGAAGATGCCGACTGTTATGATGATGATGATTCTGGGAATGAGGAGTCGTGACGTGCTCCTTCAGTGCCCCTGTACTGCCCTGCCGTCTCAGGCCAAAGGGAGGGGAGCAAGTGGGGACCTGGCCATGGCCCCTCAGCAAAAACCTATTCACAGCGGGTGGGGAAACACACACAGCTCCTGCTGACTCCCCTTATGGATCTCAGTTTGCTCCTTTTTATGGACCTTTAATGGAGAGAGAGTAACCCTCCACAGAATGTCTGAATTCTTGCATTCTTTACCCTTCCATCACTGTATTGATTCTTTTTTAAAAAAACATCAACCCAAACTCCCGCCTCACTTCGTCTCTACAGAATGTTCACAGCAAAACACGTTTGGTCTGTTTTTAGATTCTTGAAGAATTCAATAGTCTTTCAAGAGGTTGAATGTGTTTAAAGCTGGGAACCTGTTGGGAGCTCACAAGCGCTGCATATACTGGGTAGCAAAAGAAAATGGAATTAAACCCACAAAACAAACTTGGAAAAAAAAAAAAAAAAGCAAATTTGCCAAGGTTTAGCTGCTCATTTACATTAGTGTGTGTGCATTCATTCAGCCCCATGGTGGTGAATTCTGTTTCTTTCCCTTCCTAAGGCTGGGACATGGTGGGCGTCAGGGACTTTCTGCTAAGCCTGATGAAATGTGCTCCTTCAATCTCCATGAAACCATCGTAACATGGAGGCCTCAGCTGCTCTGAGGAGAGAAATCAGACTTTGTTTTTTGAAATCAATTGGGATTGAAAGCCTGAAATAAATATTCATACTTTACATAGAACTGAGCACTTGGTTGCTATTTATTTTAAAGGCAGGGTTATTTTTCCCCCCAGGGAGTGGGGCAAGTGGGGAAGTTGGGACGAGTGTGTGTGGGTGGATTTAGTGATGGGAACAAAGAGTTAAAAGTCACTATGCTAAGTTTGGTTGATACTACTGGGGGGAAAAAATTGAAACTACTGGTGACCACTGTTGGGAGAGGAAACAGCATGGCCTTCCCATCAAAAATACACTCTTACCATGACGTTTTGGTTTTTTCAAGTAGCCACTTTAAATTACTCAGTATTAATCCTAGGTGCATGTGTTAAGATTTCGGTTTTCATCGAGCTGCTTATACTGATAGTGAGAAACTTGGATGTGTGTGAGACGAGTTACCGCTTTCTTCATTGGATGTGATCTGGACTTTTTTTCCCCTTTCAACATACTTAGGCTGTGGAGTGCAAGCAGAATTGTGCATAGAAATTGTGGCAGGGCTGAGAGTTGACTGCAGGCAGGTTTTAGGCCAGATAAGGCTAGATCTTCCTGCGATGCACTCGCTGCAGCTTTTGATTTTCCAGATCTCAATCATGTTGCTTCAATCAATATTGAGATCCAGCAGCCTTCACCATCCAGGGACTTCAGAACTTGAAGGTAATTTTTGGTTGTTATGGGGGCGCACCAGATCATAAGAGGGCATTATTTGGAGGAAACAGCTATAATGTAAAATCAGATTACAGAAGGCAAATGCAGCAAGGACTGACTATAGTCCTATTTCAGACCCCTGGGCACTAGCGTCAGCTCCTCCTTTGGCTCGTAACTCAGAACCAAAGGGCAGATTAGGGACAGGGGCAGGAGGGATCCTAGGATGGCCAGAGTAGGTGACACTTACTTCCTTAGCTCCTCCTTCGTTCTGATCTCAGGGTTTTCACTCTTCAAACTCCCAAACACATGACTTCTTCCCAGTAGCCCTTCCCGGCCTCTAAAAGTTTAGTCTGGCATGAAATGGGACTGTTTAACAAGCTAAGGCTCTTAGGGGACACCGTTGAGCCTGGTCCCAGCATCTCTGTGATCTCCATGATCTCCACAGGGCCAGGGTTGCTACTTGCACCCAGAATCTAGTGATTTCAGTCAGATCCATGGAACAGAGCAGCTTTGAAATACATTGTCAAGTTGCCTGATCACAAACTCTCATAGAAAGATGTTGGAACTACCTTTTTACTCCCCATACTTTTTAAGTAATGCTTCCAGATTAACCTGCAAATCTTCTGGAGCCAGAGCCTCTCACAGTGCTCTGGTTTACCTCCCCCAAAACCCCCATGCAAGTTTACAGCCAGTAGCTTGGTCTTACTCTCTTGGAGCCCTAAAATTAAGCCTTTCATTCCCCTTACTGCGAAAGCTTCTCACTCCCAGGGCAGCCCCGGCACCCTGGCATTGCGGAAGGTGCTCTGCTGCACAGCTCTGTTCCGTCAGGCCCTATTGGCCTCTGTTACACATTGACTCAGGGAGCCAGAGCGCCAAGTGGAGGTTGTACCTTTCAGTCCTTTGGGGTGTTAACTGTCAAGGGCTGGGTTTGCCTCTGATGAGTACAATCAGTTCCAGAAGACTGGGTAAGTCTCTTGCTAGCAGGTGGACATTCTGGTATTTTAGACTGACTGAACGAAACCCAGAGGCTGGTTCCAGAGCTCTGTCCCTGAGAACACATCCCTATGGAAAATACTTGAGTTTGTAATTTTTTTTTTTTCTTCTGGGAGTAGAGGTCTCAGGCTCAATCCGGAACCATGTATGTACAGTTGTGCTTATTATTTGGTGTGACATGAACTCAAAATCTTGCATTTTTAGATTCCTTTTAATTCTAATTGAGGCCTCACTGGATGCTCTTCAGTTCTGTGTATTTTGAGGCTGGGTGGAGAAAGTATATGATTCCGCTGTTGCTTCTTTCAGTCTTCCCCCCTTCTCCTTTTATCATTCCAGAGTTCTTTTCTATTAGTCAGACTTTTTTGTAGAAACCTTCTTTCACTTGCCCTGGCAAACTGCTTCTTTACTTGCTGGTTTCCTTACGTTTGGGGCACATATTGTAAGAAACCGATCGGAAGGGGAAATGTGCAGCTCTCCACTGAAAATGAACTCTCCACCCCTCCCATCCTGATAAACAAGGTTTACATTTACAACTAAAAGGATTCAGAGATGCAATTTTCAACTATTCTGAAACCAGCAGGACACACCTGACTTTAATAGTTTTAGCTGAAATTGTAGATGTTTTTCTTCAGTTTAACTTATGAGAAAAGATTATCTGATGCATTTTGTGTTGACTTCCCCTTTAGTGGTTTATTTTGTCTTTTTCTGCCCATCTGTCTACTAATAAAATGTGAAATAAAATACCTGTATTGCTACTTCCCCATGAAATGACCCTCTTCTTTTTTTACCTTGTGTTAAAGAAAACTAAAAGGTGGTCTCAATATCACTGTTAACCTTGCAGATTATGCCAGGGCTCAGCTGAAAAATTAGACAAAAACCACAACTGGGGAATCTGCCTTTCTAACTCACCTCCCTGGTGTATCCCCAATCCCTTCAAGCTCCTTATAGACGTGGCCATTTGTTAAACTTGATTCTGAAAACGGAAGCTGATACAAGTAGATCAATGAGGGACTGAGGGGTGCTCTGCTGCTTTCCTTAGGCAAACATTTTCACTGTCATTTGTTTTCCTAACTAACTTATTGCTGCTAATAGCAGGGATCAGGCAGATCACCCTATTTAATAAAAGTCCTAATTTTACTTGTAGACACTTACCTTTTTCTAGGTAAGGTCCCAAGCTGCCCTATCCCTAAGTCTCTTAAGGAGCTGTAAGAAAAGCCAGGTTAACTTTGATCAACATGGCCTGGGCCCTGTGAGGAGGTTTAGCTCTCCTTACAGCCATTGTCATTTGGGCCAAGACGGTCCAGTTAAAAGGAAAACCATTTCAAGCTTTTATAGCCTATGTCAGAAGACTACAACCATGTGGGGTCTCCTTTAGTCCTATGAAGTCCAGGGCTTCTGCCCTGAGCTGCCTTTCAGTCACACCACACAGACGTGCATGCTCTCAGAACTTTATTAGGTGGGGATTGGGCAAGAGAAAACCCCTGAAGCAGTTGCCCACCTGGTTCAAGACAACCGGAATGGAGATGTGTTGCTTGGAGATATCTTTGATTTTTAAAGGGGAGCTGACTGGCTGAACAACTGAGATTATTATTTTTTTTCATGGTCAGCCAGTCTCTAGTAAGTCTCTAGGGACATGACCAGACTAGAAGCCGCTGTTTGAAGACAAACAGGTGCCCATATTTGTGTTGGCTGGAGGGATATCGCTGCTATTCCCAGATCAAGATTTGGTGGAAGGAGACCATGACAGATGACAAAATGAACAGTTTCTCAAAAACGGGTATAAAGTAATTACACAGGAAAGAAAACAAATAATTTCCAAAGGAGTGAGACAAGTCGTGATTCTTCATTGGTACCTGACCCCTATACCCAAACAGCCTTGAACCAGCCCTTCCAGAGACTGCCCCTAGTGGCCCACTGGGCAGTGCAGGCTATGAAGAGGACCTGAAGGCAGATGGGGTGGGGGCACTTATTTTGCTACAGTGGAGAAGGGGCTTGAATGGGGAGAACAGACCTGGCTAACATCTGCAGCCATCCCCGAACTCCCCCAGACTTCTATCACATTTACAAATACATACATAAATACATTACATACAATAGCCAGTCTGGGAGGCAGGCTCCCCACAGAGGCATGGCTGACACATGTCTCGGGAATTCTAGGGAAGGGCACTGGGCTCCCAAATATGTGCTCGTGTGTTCTCTCCTGCCCAGGATAAGCCGTGCCCCAGCACGCCCCTCTCTTCCGGATTTAGTTTGTCCAGTATGGAGAGTTGCCGTAGGCAGGTTTGGAGGCTTGAGACTTGGGCTGCAGGGAGCTGGGCTGGCTGCGCTGACCCGAGCCACTCTGCAGAAAAGGAGAAGGGAAGGCTGTCAAGGCTGGAGCAGAACCCCTAGCCTAGAGCAGGGTGGCTACCTCCATCACTGTGCTCACCTGGGCATCCTGTGGAAGGTGGTGGTGCAGCAGCTGGGAGTGGGGCTGCTGGTGGGCTGGCAAAATGTGCAGGAATGGTGGGGGCGCATAGCCAGGGGCCGCTCCCGGGGCCAGGGGCCCAGTGGAGCCCAAGGCTGAGGGCAGGCTGAAAGGTGGAGGGGTCCCTGCATGAAATCCCTGCTTGTCAAAAGTCTGCAGGGCAAAGACGACAATGGTGAAGGTCAGGTTGGGCTGTAACCTCCCAAAAACCTATACACCCAACCCACCTTTGTCCCTCACCTGTGTCTTATTGTAGACAGAACCAGTCATATCAGGTAGACCGGCGGTGCTTGAAGACACTGATACTCCTAGGAGGAAAAGCAGTTGTTCCCCACAGCAGTTGTTCCCAGCTCCAGGCTCCCCACCTCCAGGGGCACTCAGGGGTTGCCCTGCCTGATAGGGGATCAGGCAGGAGCCCACCACTCCAGGCCTTATCCTGGAAAGGAGAGGTAAACGCTACCTTTGCCAGGCCCAGAACCTGTAGACTTGTTTGGTGCCTGCGATGATCCAGCATAGCCACCTTTGGAGTAGTCTCCTGCTGCTGTCCCCTGGGTCAGGTCGTCATAACCTAGCGTGGCAGAGTATAAGAGGCACGTGTGAGCCACGCAAGCCTGTCTGACCCCGTGTGTCTCTCTGGGGAGCACCCCTCACCTGTACTGTAGCCATGCTGGCCATAACCACTGGCCTGCTGGAAGGGAGGTGTGGGAGTGCTGAGGTTCACCCCATGTTGCTTGGCTGAGGCTGGAGGGACCTGGTGGGGCAAGCAGATGAGGTATTAGTGTAGGAAGAGGCAAGCTGAGGCTGGTCAGGTACCCCTGCCAGAGCCTAAGGCAGCAGCTGACATACCTACAACCACAGGGGACCTGTGTTTTCATTAGTGCAACACATGTTGGATCTAAACACAGCAGGAGAAAGTGACCTTGTCCCCAGCCTGAACAGTTCCTGAAGGCCAGATAAGACGGAGTGGAATCATGACCCTCCCTCCCTGCTGGAAGATAGGTCCCAGGTTTCCACCTGCCAGCAACCCAAGGCCAGGAGACACAGTCACACCCGCTGAAATACTCACAAACATGGTGGGGCCATACTGGAAGGCACTGGGCACGCCTGTGTAGTAGGGAAGGCCAGTGTAGCTATAGCCAGGTGGCAGTGCAGGGTTCAGGAAGGGCTGCTGGGCTGTGTGGTGGGTCTGTGATTGGCTCTGCTGTGGCTGAGCTGGTGTGGTAGGGGGTGCAGGGGATGCAGAGTCCCCACGGCCAAACTTCGTGACATCACCTAGGAAAAAGCATTGACTCCAGCCACTGCCCTTCCTCCAACCAGAGAAAGGCCAAGCTGGCTTCCGCAAACAGGAACAGGTCTGGCTGCCAGCTCGGCACAGGCTGCCAAGAGGCCTCTCTCAGCCTTGTTGCTGCTGCTTCCCAGCTCTTGGAGTTTGTGCTAGGCCGGCCCCGGGCCACTCCTCATCCACTGAGCAAACTCACCTGGATACGGATTATTAGCTAGGCTCCCATCTCGGCTGGCAAGCGCTGTGGGTGCAGCAAAGGGAATTCCATAGTAGTCCTAGGAGAGACCAGGGAGGCTCGATCAGCGACTGGCCCTGCTTGACTCCCAGGACAGCAGAACCAGCCCATGAAAGTTTAGGTGATGCTACGCTCCTGAAATAGACTGCACACCTGAAAGCCAGCAGTCCCAGGGAACACCAAGTAAATGGTGCCCCTCAGAGGAGTGTGCAACTAGGCGGCCTAACACACGAGCACACAGACCAGCCAACCCTGCAGCTTCGCCAGGCAGAGCTGCTGCAGACCAAGCCTCAAACATCCATCTGACACCACAGGCAGATGCTTGTGTGAATGCCTCGGGCTGAACCACTTCACTGGCTTTTCTGTGAAAGACGACAGAGCAGCTAAGAAAGCTGATTAAACAGAGCAGCCCCAAAAAAGGAGGCAACAGAAGTACAAGGGCCTGAAAGGTTTAAGGGGGGACAGGGGGCAGTGCCAGGTAGGCACAGGAATGAGCAGGACCCCAGGTGAAGCCCGGAACTGGCCTGTCACCACCTACACTGCTCTGAAAACACTGACACGGTCTAGGATAAGCTTGTCCAAGCCACGGCCTGCGACAGCTTTGAATGTGGCCCAACACAAATTCATCTTTCTTAAAACATGAAATTTGCAAATCTTTTAAAGCTCATCAGCTATCGTTAATGTGAGTGTATTTTATGTGTGGCCTAAGACAATTCTTTCAATGTGGCCCAAGGAAGCCAAAACATTGGACACCCCTGGCCTAGGACTTGGGGGAAGTATGGCAGATACAACACAGTGTGGAGACAGAGACGGCAAAACACAGTGGAACTTCGTGGAGGAGGAGGCCTCACCTGACCCTCACTCACCATCCAGGGCCTCGCACTCCCGACACACCTGGCCCCTGAGGACAGGGAAAGCCCTTGGGCTGTGCCCGATCATGGCCAGAAAGGAGCCATCCTGGCTGGGAATGGCACTTACACCCTCCAGGAAACCTTCTGGAAACCCACAGCAGCCTAGAACCCCCAGGGGAGGCAGAGCTGGGAATGCACAGAGCTGCACAACTGAGGACGGGAGTAGAGAAAGCCCAGAAGGGGGAGCCCTTTCACAGAACATGAGAAATCTCCAGGCGGGAACCAGGCTCACAAGCGGCAGAGGTGAACAAAAAACTCGAGGGATAGAAAGAGCAACATATCTCAAAAGGTGGGCTCCAGAGAGTGTTTTCTCTAAGGCACAAAGTGATAAAAGCCAAAAGAGTGCTTTGAATACGTGTGGAGACCATGGAGAGCCCCTGAAGCAGGAGGAATCCCGGGGCTCAGCACCACCTCCGGCACTCTGGGTCTTTGGCCCACAGATTAAAGGGCCGCTGGTTTGCAGTGGGGAGAAGCTGCTCAGCTCCCAGGCTGGGCCTCTGCTTCTGGAAACATGGCCAGCCAGTGGAAAAGGCTCCTCTTCCGAAACAAGAGCAGCTCCGTCAGCTCTTTGTGGTCTGGCGGAGAAGGGGGCAACACCAACAGGGAAGAATGAGAAGGCGGCACTGCACAAGGGAGAAAGCCTCTTCCTCCAGGAACAGGAAAGACTGTATCCAGCAGGGGTGGACACGGGTGTCCAAACTGCTTGCAACTCTCTGACAAGTGCCCCGGGAAATGGCAGAGCAAGAAGAGAGTGGCTCCCAGGAGGAAGTCCTGCCCATGGGCAGGGCAAGGAGCGGCTCTATTGCCTTCTGTCCCCACAGTTGTGTTCATGTGGCTATCCCTGGAAAGGCCCACACTGCGTTCTGGCACCAACGGTCAGAATAAAGAGGCAACCCTGGCCTCAGAGTAAGGCTGCAACCAACAGGGACGTCCCAGGGTAGGCATTCTCACAAATCTAGATGGGAGGCCAGACCTAGAAGAGATCTTAAAGACCATCAGCTCAAGCCACTCATTCAGCTGATGGCAGAAGAGCAGTCACTGGCCACCTCAGACCAAAGACGCTATATGGTACTCTGAGGAAAAGGAAGACATTATAAAACTCCAGGGCCAAGCAAGCAACCTCCATGTCTTGTGTCATATGGGTTTTCTTTTTAAAAAAGAGAGGAAGAGAGAAAATAAGATGAAGGAGGGAAGATTATTAAGCACCAACATTTAGCAGGGGGCATGGCCTACCAGAGCCCCAGGTCCCAAAGGCCTTCATGTTTCCTAGGGATGAGCACCGGACATTCTGTGCCAAAGCTATGGTCACGCCTGGCACAACCGCCAGATGAAAACAGCTTTCTCAGTAGTGGTGCTGAGAGGTTCCTCAGGCAGAGGATCCCAAGGGCCAGACAGGGTGGCAGCCAAGACCACAAGAGGGGGGACATGTAAAAGATTCTGAACCCTCTGCTCCGACCAGTCCACACCCCACTCACCACTGGCAGCCGTGACTGCAGCATCTGGAGCTCGTCATAGCCATAGATCTGTGTGAGAACCAGAATGTGTATTTTAGGAACCACATACCACCCCCTGGGAAGCCCAGGTCCATCTAAGAGTCAAAACAAGGTTGCGGGGCTGTAACACACCCGGGAATGGGATCTGGATCAGCTGTTATGGGAACAGGTCCTGCCTTCACGGAGTCTAGATGGAAGACCACAGGGCTCAGCAGGGCAGAGACGGGGGGCTCAGGGATGGAAGGGCAGCTCGAGGTGGGCAACCTGGGCCCAATGCCAGGCTCCTGCCAGGTGCCAGCCCCTGAGGCCAGGGGAGCTGGGCAGGCCAGGAGTTCAACCAAGCACTCACCGGGTAGGCAGGAAGCAGTCCTCCAGGACCTACGAGGTACTGGTTGTGCAGCAGGGGAGGCACCCCCTGAGGCAAGTTTGGAGGTGCTTTGCCTGTATAGAGGGAAAAATCAAATGGAGTGAAGTAGTCACCACAAAGAGTGAGAGTCCTCAGCTGCTTCAGGAGGAGGTACAGTCACTGAGCTACCCCAGATGGGTTCAAGGAAGGGCAGTGGCCGAATGAGGCAGAGGGTCATTCTACAAAGCAGTGAAGGGGAGACAGAAAGCCCGGCCACCACACTGAGGTTGTTTCAACGTCAGAGAGTTCTGGGCCCAGACAAAAGCAGCCCCTTTCCCCCAGTCCCTAAGGTCCCACTGCACTGAGCAAAGAGAAATATAAAAAGAATCTGCCTCCTCCAAAGAGGGCAAGGAAGCCATGCAGTGCCAGGAGAGGAACAGGATGAGTTCAAAGTGGGTTTTAGCAGCAACTATCAAATCATAGTCTGCTGGGCCTACCGACAGCCTAGGTCTGCAGTCGAGGAGCCCACAATAAGTCGTCCCTGGCCCCTCTAAGTCACCATGTCAACTTGGCTCCAGGGAAGAACAGAGAGGAAAGATTGGAAAGCTAGAAGCACACAGAGGCCAGGAATCCTGCCAGGGAGAATTCATCCCCATCAGGGGTGGGGAGATCAGGCCTCAAGGTCAATGGAACACACAGCACACCTGGCAGGACTGAGACTCTCCTGACACCTGCACTGCCTTCCTGGGACGCCAAGCAGACACCTTTGAGGGGCTCAGGGGTGGGCAGGAAAGGCCTCTGGAGCACATACCTGAGGTCACCAAGGGTGCGGCCCTGCTACTGCTGCTGGACACACTCGTGGGGGTCCCACTCAGACAGAGGCTGTTCGCAGTGTTCATGCTACTGGACAGGCTGACGCCTGAGGATGCGGAACTCGAGACGGAGGTTGCTGCCGTGGAGAAGTTGGCTGAGGACTGGAGGGAAGAGGCGCTCTCCACACTGGCATGCTGGCAAAAGAAAAGCCAGGACACATGGATCTGGAGGCAAGAGGGGAGGGTGCCGGGGAGAGACTGGCCTGGGGCTTGGGCCCATAGTCTCAAGGCTGAGCAGGCAGGTGATGATCTAGCTACCCAGGCTCCCTTAAGGTGAGAGGCACCATGCTCAGCGCTCACTGTGGCCCCTCACACAGCCGCTGGTTCCAGCCATCAGGATACAATACATAAACTGAACATCAAAACTATTAACATTAAGCTCTAATGACCACAACTCTGTAAAAATCCTTCAAGCTGCTCATGCATTGGCATCCAAAATGAGGGCATAGAAATCCCAAGATAACTTTGGATCATAAATGAACACAGACTATCTGAATATGGGACAAGTACCTATCTCAGAGCAAAGCAAACAGTCTGAGAAGAGGCGAGCATAGGCCACAGGAAGCCCAGCGCAAGTCTCAATCTTTTGGAGGTTTCCCTTCTATTGGGATTCTCAGCCACTGTGGTCTGGAAACAACAGGAGGCTGAGAGAGGCCTTTGCTCCAAAACCTGGTGACATCTTTCAGTCCACCAACGCCTCACCAGGGCCCACCTAAAAGGGCATGGCCTGCCACTATGCCTGCTTGACAAGGTGCCCCTGGGAAGAAAGAGTGAACCAGCAGACGCTCCATCAGCCCCAAGTTCCAGGAGCCCCGCCCAGCTGCCCAAACCTAGCAACAGGGTCCTATGAAGAACTTCAAGCTCCGAGTGGGTAGGTGGGAGAGGTACACCTAGGTGGGCAAAGCAAGTTCCAAAAACGGGAGGAAAAGCTCTGTAAAAGGGAGACCAGTCTCCAAACCAGGGCATAGAAAGCAGCATATAAACTCGTAGAGGAAAAGCCAAACAACAGGAAGGGCCCAGGAGAAGGACCCAACCTGCCTCCGCAGACTAACTCTCCGCACCATCCCATGCCCACAGGTCACTACCCACCTGGCTACTGGCTTTAAAGAGCTAACATCAGAACAGATTCACCAAGGTAAAGACAGCCAAAAACATGGTTTCCTGGGGCTCCAAGGCATCTTATTCCTCCAGCACAGATGGGCAGGACTAGGCTGGAGAGAGCCCCACCAGGAAAAGGGCAAAGGATGCAGCAGCCTGCCCGCCATCTAGGTCCTCTCCTTAGCGAGAAGCCAGACTCCCCACCACCTGCTACAGAAATCTGGAACAGCTCTGACCAATGCTCGCAAGTGTACTTGGATATATACAACCTTTTAGTCTCAGAAGGAAAAATAAACATTCCCCATCGCTAAGAGAAGCTCACTAGGGAACTAGGTCCTCACTTGCTGAAAGGGACTCAAGAGTCATCCGGCAAGTCTCTTCTCCCTTAGCTGCCCGACAGGGTTCCTGTCTCTGGCCTTGACCTTCCAGAACTGGGAGGACATCAACCTGCTGGATTAAAAGGTCAACACCAATTTTAAAGGCCTCGCTCAGTCCATCCAATGGGGTCTATGCAGTCAACTCCCCATTGATGGATGGGCCCAGAGAAGCAAAGGCAGGAGAAGATACTTAAATTTCCTTTAAGTACGGATGGAGAGTGATAAAGATCTAACTATGAGAAAATGGAAGAAAATACACAGATCTCTGTAAAAAAAAATCATGAACAGCAAACTTAGGGAAAAATCCCTATACTTCCCATCACGAAGGGCTCCCTAATACAGAAACAGAGACCAAAGACCTGACAAGAAAAGGAACCAAGAATATAAATAGCTCACATAGGCCAGGCGCGGGGGCTCACGCCTGTAATCTCAGCACTCTGGGAGGCGGAGGCAGGTGGATCACCTGAGGTCAGGAGTTTGAGACCAGCCTGGTCAACATGGTGAAACCCTGCCTCTATTAAAATATAAAAAAAGTAGCTGGGCCTGGTGGCATGTGTCTGTAATCCCAGCTACTAGGGAGACTGAGGCAGGAGAATCGCTTGAACCTAGGAGGTGGAGGCTGCAGTGAGCCAAGATTGCACCACTGCACTCCAGCCTGGGCCACAAGAGTAAAAAACTCGGTCTCAAAAAAATAATAATAAATAAATAAATAAAATAAAAATTAAAAACTCACATAAAGGAAATCAAATGGTTTTCAAATATATATAAAAAAGGATGTACAATCTCATTAAAAAGTAGACTGATGGGCCATTTTTCTGCTAACATATTAAGAAAATACGAATGTTTAATAACACCATTTTGAGGAGGCAATGGTGTAACAGGACATTTTATTCACTGCCAGTGGGAGGTAAACAGGGTCAAATCACTATGCAGGGCAATCTGGAAATGTGTATAAAATCACAAATGCTTTGCTGTTTCATATCGTGGACTGACCTGCTACATACAGCTACACACATGAAACAACATAGGTAGGTTATCTGGCCGGGCGCGGTGGCTCAAGCCTGTAATCCCAGCACTTTGGGAGGCCGAGACGGGCGGATCACGAGGTCAGGAAATCGAGACCATCCTGGCTAACACGGTGAAACCCCGTCTCTACTAAAAAATACAAAAAACTAGCCGGGCGAGGTGGCGGGCGCCTGTAGTCCCAGCTACTCGGGAGGCTGAGGCAGGAGAATGGCGCAAACCCGGGAGGCGGAGCTTGCAGTGAGCTGAGATCCGGCCACTGCACTCCAGTCTGGGCAATAGAGCGAGACTCCGTCTCAAAAAAAAAAAAAAAAAAAAAAAAAAAGGTAGGTTATCAAATGCAACATTCTCTGTAGTATCAAGACTGAAAACGACCCTAAAGCAGAACTGTGGGGAAAAACAACAACAAAACCCTTATGTTTCAACATGGAAACATCAAAATACACTTGTGGGGATACACAAGTGGGGAAAAAATTTGAAGGACACTGTACATAAAATACTCTCATTTATGTACCAAGAGAAAACGATAAAAAGGGCAGATAATGGCCGGCGCAGTGGCTCACGCCTGTAATCCTAGCACTTTGGGAGGCTGAGGCGGGTGGATTACGAGGTCAGGAGTTCGAGACCAGCCTGACCAACATAGTGAAACCCCGTTTCTACTAAAAATACAAAAATCAGCTGGGCGTGGTGGTGTGTACCTGTAACCCCAGCTACTCAGGAGGCTGAGGTAGGAGAATCACTTGAACCTGGGAAGTGGAGCTTGCAGTGAGCCGAGACTGCGCCACTGGACTCCAGCCTGGGCAACAGAATGAGACTCCATCTCAAAAAAAAAAAGGGCAGATGATAATGGCAAAAAGACTATGTGTACGCACTGCATGTTTAGACTTCTATTTATTAAAAGAAAAATCATCTAAAGGATTGAGAAAATGTAAAGGTAGAGCCAAGTAGATGAGAGACAGAAAATCTTTTCATTGTAAATTGACAAGAATAGCAGAAGTAGATCAAGGGATACGTTTGACTGTTGGCTTTTTTTCCAATTTAAAATTTGCAGTTTTGATTTTTCTCTAGAGGCCAGAATGTCCATGACACATCAGAATTGAGCCTGCTGCAAGGGGTGGGCCTGCAGAGAGTCACTGAGAGGTCCTTGCCCCAGCCAAGCCCAGGGCTTCTGCAGAGCTGTGGAATTCACTTTTACAGGGGAAAAAGGAATATTTTGGGCTACTTGCAAATTGGAAGTTGGAATACCGAATCTACTGAGTAAAACAAACACTAATTTAGGTTGCAATATAAATTCTTATTAAGCTATAATTTTTCTGGTAGACATTCATTTTCTATATGGGGATTGTTTTAAACCTATTTGAAAAGCCAATTCAATCACACATCGTATCTAATTATGTACCCTGTTTTTATTGCCTAACATTGTACACTATGTAATTTATTAATGTTTTGTATAACATTTAAAATTTTTATTTCAAAAAGTAAAGCTTTATACTTTCATCGTATGTCAGTTACCATATGAAACATTTTACATATGTTAACAGTTAATGTTCACAGTCATGCCATGACTATGATGTATATACTATTATCTCAGTTTTCCAGATTAAAAAGATAAACAGAGGCACATAGAAGTTAGTTAATTGACCTGCCCGTTTTTACACAGGGAGTAAGGACAGAGCAGGCACACAAACCCAAGCAGTCTGGTTCCAGAGTCTGTATTTTTATCTCTAAGCCGTTCTGTCCCTGATAGCTATGTCCCAGCATGCCATAAAATATACCTACCAGAGTTTTTCTAAATAGTACTCTGTGATTAGACATTTAGGTTCAAAACTGAATATAAGAAAAAGTTCTTATATTCAAAAAACTTAATTTTATATTCAAAACTTTTATTCAAATAATTAAGTTTCTATTAATTATTGAAGGATGATCTATTATTGTTAATAATAAAAGATTTGTAGAACATAGTAAAATTTTTGAACTTCAGAATGTCACTTTTCTTCCCAAGTTTGTTGTGACTTTATAAATGCTATACCAAAAGCAAATAATAAAAAATCACATATTCCTGTGGTCAACCCAGGCACAAAATTTCTTTCATGATTATTTTGCACTCTTATTCTGGCTTAAATAAAATCTATTTTTAAACAATTCAAAAAACAAAAAAAAAGAAAAAACTTTTCATTGTCTATCTTTCTATAACTTTTAAGATGAAATATTGTAACAAACAGTTGACGGCTGAACAACAGGTTCGAAATGCATGGGTCCACTTACAGGTAGATTTCTTTTTCAACCCAATGCAGGCATGCATAATTTGAAAACACACATATTTGGAAGCCTGACTTTTCCTAGAGATGGGTTCTGCAGGGGCAACTGTGCGACTTGAGAATGTGCAGATTTTGGTGTAGGCAGCGGTCCTGGAACGAATCCCCCGCAAATATGGAGGGACAACTGTACTAGCAACGCCACAGTTCTGTCATGCTGACAAAGTATGGAATCCACTGGATGAGGCGATTCTGGCTGTGGCAGGTTGGAATACATGATCTGGAGTTTTTTTTGAGGAGATGGAGAGTGCAGCTCACCATGAGTGCAGGAGCACTGGGCTCCCAGGCAGCAGTGGCATGGACACAGAGGGCAGCCCCATGGCGCTCCTGCTGAGGTCAGCTCACGGCTCCCATGAGCCACAGAGGGCAAGGACAGGGGCAGGGGGACAGGCAGAGGTGTCCACACTGTGCTCTACTTTGAAAGTGGCAGTTTGTGTGTTTTATAAAAGATTCTGTGTAAGGTTTGACTTGGAACATCAGCGTGTGAAAGCCACAGCATTAGCCAGATCCAGAGGAAAGGACAGGACGTCCCTTTTCCACCACCTCACTCTGCTAGTGAGCTGCTGCCTTCTTCAGAGGACCCCAAGTTCATATCAGTTTCCTGCCTCCTCTGTTCGTCTGCACCCTAATCCTTCCTCTCGGCCTGTGGACCTGCCTACTCCAACCTCACCCAACACCTCCTGCTGTCCAGGAGCATGGACATTTTGTTAATCCAGGCACCTTTCTATCCTCCCAATAGACGTTCCAGCCTCTCCTAAGTTTTCACTGGATGCCCTCTACAATCCGCCTCATCATCTCCATCTCACTACCATTCACTCCACAAGCCACCACAATCTGGCTGACACCTACCACTTAAAACCATGCTCACAGCTCCACGATCCACTGAGCCACACCTCAATGACCATAATCTAGGGCTACTCTTTGGCATATGAGGACACTTCCCAGCTGGTGCTCCCACTCCGGCCTCCTGTTTGGCTTCTTGGCAGTGCATGTTTGCTTCCACCCTCTAGACTCCCTTCTCTAACATCGACCTTCTCACAATCTCTGCCTCTGAGTCAGGAAAAAAGGCACAAGGAAAGATCAAACAGCAAATTCGTGGGAGCAAGGTCACCACCTGACAGTCCTGCCAATGACAGATGAGGACTGGAGCAACGATTCTTCCCAGGTGCTACGAACTTAGAAAGCAAGATGTCCCCCAGATGGTGCCCAGGAAATTGGAGGCTCGAACCAGATCATGCCATCAAGACATTTCCGCCAAGCAACTCTAGATTATCAGATACTAAAAATCAGACTGAAGCTCCAGCTGCATCTGACTAAGCTCCAGGCTCCCTAAGCATGGTGGAGGGAGAGGAAGCCGCGCAGACACTTACTGTGTGTGACGTGCTCGAGGAGAGGGCTGCGTGCGCAGAGGAGAGGCTGCTCTGGTGGCTGGAGAGCGAACTAGAAGACAAAACAGAGTGCCATATGTCCACCTGAACAAGTGACTCCAGATGAACAAGACACACGTGGCTCAGTGAGCTAGATTCAAACTTGTCCCTAGTCCCTAGCAAAGGACCGGCTTCAGACCCCTCCTCATTCCTTATCCCCAAAGAGCCCAGTGATGGGGTCCTGGTGGATGAGAATGACTTGCCATGAGGTCTGGAAAACTCCAGAGCCAGCTTCCCTCAATGACATCCACTTGCTCCTCAGATGCCAAAAGTCAAGACAGAGTTGCAGTAAGAACACAGTCATCCTTGACAACCCCATTCAATCTGTGAATGAGGGATCAAAGTTCCTATGCTCAACTCCACATGCCAATTCCCATCAAACCCACTTTTGCTCCTGGTTAAAGAGTGATGGAAAACACTCCTCAGAAGACAGAGGTAGCAACCCCGCTCATTTTCCTACACCTTGTTCTAATAACATTGCTTCTTCAGCCATGGAAAGTTCAGGCCAGACACCTGCTCAGAAATCCATCATTCTCCTTCCACCTCACAGACACGGGCCCAGCGATGCCCAGAGAGTCTAGGCTCAGGCACCCTCTGGAGGGCGAAGTCAGGTAGGAGGGAGCTGCTGGCCTCACCCTACTCCCAGGGGACCCAGTGCTCTGTGCCAGTAGAGGCCGTACAAGCAGGCAAGGTTTCCCTATCTGGTGGTTTTAAGGCACAGCCTGGCCAAAACCTAAGCTACAGTTGTAATGCAAAAGCTCGGGACATCATGTCAGAGACAACAAGTGTGCTCTGTTCATGGAAGCAGCCTTCTACAGGAGCTCCAGGACTTTGCCCCAAGGTACTTCTCACTCTGGGCCCACACCTTCCCCATACCTGCTAAGCTGAGAGAGAGGGCTGCTGCTCAGGTCGCCAGTGTGTGGGGATGTGGATGGCAGAAGTGCAGTGCAGGAGGTGGTGCTGGGCAGGGAGCTCACAGATGGGAGGGCAGAGGGAGGGCCTGTTGTCTTTGGAGCAGGAACGGACGAAGTAGCTGTAAGAAACAGATCTGTTTATTTCTACAACCAATCCTAAGTATCTGAAAATATGCTCAATATCTTGTGACATGTCAGCCTCAGTTGAGACGTCCATAAAGTTACATTCCCCAGGAAAATGCCAAGCATGTCGCCAGATAGCCCCTTGTCTGTCAAACAACACTATCAAAGGACACACCATGCTCAGGTGTTCAAGATGCAGCAAAGAATAGGAAATGACACCTTTATAATCCAATCTACCCTATATGGGAACATACTTTTTCCACCTAAAGGAACCTAAGCTATAGATGCATCCAGAAAGAAAAACAGGTGCTGAGCCTAATATGTAGAATTATAACGTGAGGCAAACTCCTCAAAGGGCACAGCAAGGGGGAGAAAGAAGCTGACAGGTGAGACCACCTACACATGCTTCCAAGTCAGGCTGACTCTACCAATGCTCACGGCCAACGTAAGGTAGACAGGGGTCGATGCATATGTTGTATAGAGACAGAGATACCTAACATCTGCAGGAAGAACACACATCTACTGTCCAACACCTATTTCCAAATGCACAGTGAGCATTTCCTTGGTATGTACTTGAATAGATGAATCTCAAAGCACACACATGAGCTTCGTAGGCTTCAGAAAGAATGTGGAGACACTCAATCCTAGCTGTGGAAAGACTCAGTTTCAGTGCTATCCACACATACAACTCAGATATGTGCTTGGAAATAAAACATCATTGTCTTTTCCAGTTAGGAAAGAGGAGCAACCTTGACCCTTCTAAAACCCAGGGAAAGCGCTTGTCTCTAAAGGAAGGGCAGGTCAAAAACAAACACAAGCAATGAAAGGGTCAACTTACACCTAGGTCAGTTCTTACAGAGGCCTTCTTTTTATTGGCAGTCTATTCCGTATACAAACCTGTTCATAAATAAACTGTATAAAGACACGATAGATAAACCTCACCTAAAACTAAGACCCCAAAAGGTACCGCCCTGGGCCTTGTATTACGATGCTAACAGCTTCACAGGAAGCCTCTCTCAAACAAACAAAATGGGGAGGGAAGGAGAGGAGGAAGTGAGGGAGAAGAGAGTATGGGAAATGAAAAGTAGGTTAATGTACACTGCTTCCCAGATACTTCAGTTCTCGACCCATGCCTAGACAAAAGAAACCTGCCACTACCACTGCTAGAGTAAAAAGTTCCTCTGTCATCCAACAAGCTCAGAATGACCAACGAATCTCCAAACAGACTTGGCAGCCCAACAATACCAGCAAATGTCAAACCAAAATCCTGGGGCTCCAAATCTGTCATTACAGTTTCAACTGAGGCTCACCCCGGTCTGCTTAACTTCAATATCCGCACTCCCAGGAAATCCTATTTAAAGAGAGTCTTTCTGGCTTCCCCATCCACTTGCCTTCCTGAATAAAGAAAGAAAACTACTATAAACAATCACAGACAAGCTGGTCAACTACAGAAAAGAAGCAATTAACGGATTCGCCTGTACTGTCTTTGGTAATCACTGAGCTGTTGGAAGGGGGCCTCATTTTCTCCCAAATGTCCACAGTGAACATTTATCTCTCTTTCTAAGCTACAGTCCTTCAGGTCCTAAAGACAATGAGCCTATCTTTCCTGAACAAGAACAGTAATTTTTGCTTTAGAAGTACTTTTTTTTTTTTTTGAGATGGAGTCTTCACTTTGTAGCCCAAGCTGGCTCAAGCGATTCTTGTGCCTCAGCCTCCCAAGTAGCTGGGATTACAGGCACGCACCACCACACCCGGCTAAATTTTCATATTTTAGTAGAGACAGAGTTTCACCATGTTGCCCAGGGGATCTCAAACTCCTGAGCTTGGGCAATCTGCCTGCCTTGGCCTCCCAAAGAACTGGGATTGTGGGCATAAGCCACCCAGCCTGGCCCAAGCATCTTTAAGATGCGTACTGTACGCTGCACTTGTGGTGCAGTGTGATTAGGGCAGAAGAATATGAGACCATCACCTCCCTCTTGCTGTGGCTAAGACATTTCTAATAATACCACAGCCAACACCTGGTCCAAAAAAAAAAGCAAAAGGGCTGCTTTTTAACGAATGAGCCATTGACCAACTGGTGTTTTCCACATCACTTGAGCTATCTTCTTCCTCTGTTTGGTTGGCACCAGCCATGACAAGAGTAGCCTGCTGGTATACTTACTGTCTAGTGTCTGCTGACTTCGACCACCACCATGTCCATTCTATAAGGAAAAGAAGAGAACATAAACTTACAAAATGAAATCATTACCTGGGTGGCTTTTTATACTTTCTGTAACATGTAACTTAATCAAAAAACAATGATCTCTTTTATTGTATTTTTTAATAAAGGGGAGGTAATACAACAAACTCTCATACAAGAACAAATGTTTAAAAAAATTTTTTTTCACCTCCCCAGGTTCAGGTGATCCTCCCACTTAGTCTGCCTAGGAGCTGGGACTACAGGTGCATCCTACCATGCCTGGCTAATTCTTGTATTTTTTGTAGAGATGGAGTTTTGCCATGTTGCTCAGGCTGGTCTCCAACTCCTGGGCTCAAGCAATCCTCCTGCTTTGGCCTCCAAGAGCATTGGGATTACAGGCATGAGCTACCACACCCAGCCCCAAATCATTTTTTTTAAAGATAACTTTTTGAGATGGTGTCCTGCTCTGTCACCCAGGCTGGAGTGCAATGGTGCATCTTAGATCACTGCAAACTCCATCTCCCAGGTTCAAGTGATTCTCCTGCCTCAGTCTCCCAAGTAGCTGGGACTACAGGTGCGCACCACTACACCAAGCTAATTTTTGTATTTTTAGTAGAGATGGGGTTTCACTATGTTGGCCAGGCTGGTCTCAAACTCCTGACCTCAAGTGATCCACCCACCTCGGCTGCCCAAAATGTTGGGATTACGGGTGTGAGCCACCATGCCCAGCCAAAAGATAATTTTCATACTAGAAATTATCACATTTTATATCATTAACAAAATGATTCTGAGATAAAAAGAGATGGTTCCTTGAAAGATGGCTTTTCTTAAGTGGGTTGGGTAGTGAAAGGGTTATGGCAATGTAGGCCCAAAAAGAGCAGAAACTGAAATCAACTGGTTGGTGCTAACCACAAGGCATCTCAGTGGAATTAACACACATGAAAAAGGCATCTCACAAGAATGACGTCTGCCTCCACAGACTGAACAGGGAACATAGGGCATGGAACACTAAACATCAGAACCTACGAGGCTCAAATACTATCCCAAGATAAGAGGAACATGAAAAAGAGCTAAAACAGATTCTTTCTTACAAATTGCAAAAACACCCTAAAGTTGTTTCCTCTGTATCAACTCAAATCTTATAAAACCTCTGCTCATGAATATTACACTTATTTATGATACTCTTTGTTCTACAAAAAGTTATTTTTTACAAGTTATGTTTTTACAAGAAATACAGAAAATTAAACAGAACTACTAGGAAAAAAGTAAGTTAAAATAACAGGTTACAGTCAAGGAAAGGGAAACAACATACCTCACCAAATACATAAAAATAGGTAGAAAGTGGGGCCAGGCGCCGTGGCTCACACCTGTAATACCAGCACTTTGGGAGGTCGAGGCAGGTGGATCACGAGGTCAGGAGTGAGACCAGCCTGGCCAACATGGTGAAAACACTTCTCTACTAAAAGATACAAAAAATAAGCCAGGCGTGGCGGCGCGCGCCTGTAATCCCATCTACTCAGGAGGCTGAGGCAGGAGAACTGCTTGAACCCCAGAGGTGGAGGTTGCAGTGAGCCAAGATCATGCCATTGCACTCCAGCCTGGGTGACAGGGCAAGACTCCCCCCCAAAAAAAAAAAAATTGGTAGAAAGTAATCACAGGTCTAGTTTTCTGCCTCACCCTAAGTAAGGTTCATGCCCCACTAAATATACTTACATGATGTTGAACATGGGCATCCTGAACACCACAAGCCCTGACATGTAAAGGAGTCATCTTTAAAATACACCAGATAAAAAAAAGCACAGAAAAGGGGAATAGGAAAGAGCAGACCTGAGGAAGATTTCACTTCAGCTTGAAAAAAAAAAAATTTTTTTTTTTTTGAGACAGTCTCACTCCGTCACCAGGCTGGAGTGCAGTGGCACAATCTCAGCTGACTGCAACCTCTGACTCCCTGGTTCATGAGATTCTTCTGCCTCAGCCTCCAGAGTAGCTGGGATTATAGGCACGTACCACCATGCCCAGTTAATTTTTGTAGTTTTAGTAGAGGCGGTGTTTCACCATCTTGGCCAGGATGGTCTCGATCTCCCAACCTTGTGATCTGCCCACCTCGGCCTCCCACAGTGCTGGGATTACAGGTGTGAGCCACAGCGCCCGGTCTGAAAATCTTTTTTTTTTTTTTGAGACAGAGTCTCGCTCTGTCGCCCATTCTGGAGTGCAGTGGCGCAATCTCGGCTCACTGCAAGCTCCGCCTCCTGGGTTCACGTCATTCTCCTGCCTCAGCTCGGCTAATTTTTTTGTATTTTTAGTAGAGACGGGGTTTCACTGTGTTAGCCAGGATGGTCTCAATCTCCTGACCTCGTGATCCGCCCGCCTCGGCCTCCCAAAGTGCTGGGATTACAGGCGTGAGCCACCACGCCCGGCCGAAAATCATTTTTAAAACACAAAAGATAGACAAACTGATACAACAGAGGGCCACATTATTTGGGATGGGGGAAATTCTAGGTAAAAGAATGACAAGAGGCCAGGCGTGGTGGTTCACGCCTGTAATCCCAACACTCTGAGAGGCCCAAGTGGGTTTATCGCTTAAGCCCAGGAGTTGAAGACCAGCCTGCGCAAAATGATGAGACCCCCGCCTCTACAAAAAATTAAAAAATTAGTCGGGCATAGTGGCATGCACCTGTACTTTCAGCTACTCAGGAGGCTGAGGCAGGAGGATCATCTGAGCCTAAGAGATCGAGGCTGCAGTGAGCTCTGATAGTGCCACTGCACTCCAGCCTCGGTGACAAAGCAATGCCCTGTCTTTAAAAAGAAAAAAGAAAGCAAAAGCAAAGAAGTATCAAAGGGTCAAGAAATCAAAATCTGCAGGAGAAAACAGAATCAATCAGCTCAGCAAGGAATGAAATGAGCAGTGATGTGGGCAAGGAGAGTGAGAGGTGACATTAAAACAGGAATTGAGATGTCCTGGAGATGACAGGGATTGATATGTGGACACCATATGGTCTGATTTCTGTTTTTTGTTTTTTTTTGAGACCGAGTCTTGCTCTGTCGCCCAGACTGCAGTGCCGTGGCACAATCTTGGCTCACTGCAACCTCTGCCTCCCGGGTTCAAGCAATTATCCTGCCTCAGACTTCCAAGTAGCTGGAATTACAGGCACCTGCCACCACGCCTGGCTCATTTTTGTGTACATTTAGTAGAGATGGGTTTTCACCATGTTGGCCAGACTGGTCTCGAAATCCTGACCTCAGGTGATCTGCCTGCCTTGGCCTCCCAAAGTGCTGGGATTACAGGCATGAGCTACCATGCCCGGCCTTATTTATGCTTTATTAACAGTACAGATCGGTACTTTTTAAAAGTATTTTCTGAATTAACCGAAATATTCTATGTCTGCATAGTCCTACACCATAGCCACTAACCAAATCTGGCTAATAAGCACTTAAAATGTGGCCAGTGTTAGAGGAACTGAATTTTTGCCTACTTTAATTACGTTTATATAGCCATATGCAGCCAGTGGTTGCCACAATGGAAAGTACAGAAATAAACATTGTGTTAAAAATGGCAGATGAGGCCGGGCATGGTGGCTCACGCCTGTAATCCCAGCACTTTGGGAGGCCGAGGTGGGAAGATAGCCTTAAGTCAGGAGTTTGACACCCACTTGACCAACATGGAGAAACCCCGTCTCTACTAAAAATACCAAATTAGCCAGGCGTGGTGACGCATGCCTGTAATCCCAACTACTCAGGAGTCTGAGCCAGGAGAATTGCTCGAACCTAGGAGGCGGAGGTTACAGTGAGCTGAGACTGCGCCATTGCACTCCAGCCTGGGCAAGGAGCAATACTCTGTCTCAAAAAAAAAAAAAAAAGAAAAGAAAAGATCAAGAATACATAGCTTTTTAAAAATGAGTAAACCCAGAAAGACAAATAGCAGGTGAAAAAAGGGTAGCAACAAAGTTGTCTGTATGTAGAAGCACACAGAAGATGGTAACTGCCTCAGCTGATCTGGAAAAGCCAAATCCTAAGCCAGTAAGAGAAAACCAGAGAACAATTCAATCTGTGTCTTCAAAGAACCACACCATACACCTCAGTATTGGATCGACACCAGGAACTTTGCAAGCAGGAGTGAAGATGAAGCAAAATGTAAGAGGATTGGTTTAAAATATGCACAGATGCAGATTCCCTGACACCTCTGCACAGCAGTATGACTTCCTCCTCCCATGAGATCTACACATCATCAAGGGAGTAACAAACGGCCAGGGTACTATAGAAAATGAAGATAGATCAAGTCAGTGTAGACAAAATGAATAATGATAACAGCCTTCTCTTCCTATTAGGCGCTAAGGACACTGACAAGACAGTGATATGCCCTACAGGAAGGAGACGAAGAATATTCCCTGAGGAATCCAAATGAGCTCACCTATGATACTCTATACCCCTTTCCATTGGCTAATAATCATCAGTTGATTTACCAATATGAAGAATTAGAAAAGGAAGCCAGATGCAGTGGTACATGCCTAAAGTACCAGCCGCACACACCTGTAGTCAAGCTACTCCAGAGGCTGAGGAAGAAGTATAGCTTGAGGCCAGGAGTCCAAGGCCAGCCTGAGCAACACAGCAATACCCATGGTCTCCTTTTAAAAATGAACAGGCCAGGCGCAGTGGCTCAAGCCTGTAATTCCAGCACTTTGAGAGGCCAAGGCGAGTGGATTACTTGAGGTCAGGAGTTTGAGATCAGCCCGACCAACATGGTGAAATCCCATCTGTACTAAAAATACAAAAAATTAGTCAAGTATAGTGGCACGTGCCTGTAATCCAGCTACTCAGGAGGCTGAGGTTGCAGTGAGCTGAGATTGCACCACTGCACTCCAGCATGGGCGACAGAGTGACACTCCATCTCAAAAAACAAAACAAAACAAACAAATAAATAAAGGAGACAATACTGCTACAGATCTCAGAGACATTAAAAGGACAGGAAAGAAACACATTGAAGTTTTATACCAGTAAATTAACAACTTAGATGAAATGGACAAA